AGACACAAAGTTCACAATGAAAATGAAACCGTTAACATAATGATACGAAACTGTTGCAGGGTTTGAAGCTCGAACTTTGCACGACAGACAGTTGGATTACTGTCTGATGTTACGCGCATATTCAGGGAGAATAACCTCACAGTCACCCCAGCCGAATTGACAACGAAAGAAGGCAAAGCTGTGAATACATTCTACATCCGTGATATGTCAGGTTACCTGGTTGACGCCAAAACAATTGACTCGATCCGCGAAGTGATAGGCCAGACTATACTAAAAGTTAAAGGCTCCCCTGAAGACCCAAAATCAGCTCCTCAGGAATCTCCAACCAGGTTCCTTTTCGGTGGTCTCTTCAAGTCAAAATCTTTTGTCAATTTCAGCTTGGTTAGGTCCTATTCTTGAGGAATACATTCAAATCCCTCCACATGTAAATATTAAAACAACATCCCATTTAGGAATCATTATCTCTTCTTGTAAACGAAGACCGTCGGTCGAATGATCTGTAAATTTCGTACAAACATTGTGTTCAATCGAAAGTTCGATACAAAAACCTTATCTGTTCGACCATATCTTGTTTATATAAAAGAGATTGGACATGTTAAGATTAAGTTGCGTTTTGGCTACAAGTTTGGACTGATGTTCACAGATTAGACAGGTTGCTTCATTGCTATACACACTAATCAAACCATTAATAAATTAGTACTATTTTGAAGAAAAATGAGGCCACTGAACTTTTTTGATTGGTCGGTGACTTCCTACTGCGAATGCTGATCAATTCATCCCACCAAATCAGGCATTATACACGCAAAAGAGGGCATGTCGGCTATGGTTTTTATGTTTGGTAATGATCATTTCTTGAATTTTCCAGGTCCTAAAAAGATTTGCATGCGAATCTTTAACATCAGTTTTCATGTGAATGCAAAAGTGTTTTTGGATATGGGTTTAGCTTGTTGCAACCCCACCTTATCTGTGTTTTTGTTTCATTTGCTAAGCTTTGGTCCACTGATGACGATAATAACATTCTTGAAGTATAAAATTCTGTTGTTAGATCGTCACGTCAAATTTACGTTATGATAAATGAAGGTGCAGGCAAACCTAGAGCAAATGAATTCGAATGATACCTTGATAAGGTTAAATAAGTTGCCATTTACAGGAGGATACAGTCTTGGTGTTTCATTGATGATCATGTTGATCTGTTTTAGAAAAAGGAATCAAAGGCAAAACATTGTAATTCATAGTGTAGTTCAATAATAAACATGAAACACATTCGGTTTTCAGTTTGGCGATCCCTTCTGAATCCGAGTTTCGTGTACCGAATACCTCCAACACCTCTATTTGTGCTTTGTCTTTACCGGTCTGTGTGGGTTGCTAGGAGGAGGAATGTCCATACAAGCAAGGAATTAATTGTTTCATGGCCGGCAAAATAGAAAGTTCTACATCATCTACCAATTCTTGTTCCCAAAACCTGTTTTTCTCATCGGATTCATGATAAGCATTTACAAGTAATCCAAGAAAGTCGTTACCGAAGTTTTCCATCTCTCCGGTCACGACTTTCTCTTCCCTTTTATGACGATCCTCGTTACAGGTCTTAACAGATGATGCCATGGTGCCCATTCTTTTCTTTCAAGATCTTAACAGATGATGAATCCATCAGGTTTTGCGGTGTTTATATTTGATTTCTTTTAAGAAAATATGATAATAAACTATTGAATTATGTTTGTTATAAAATTATGGGGCAAAAACGTATTTGTGAACAGTAAAATATGTATGAACAGTAATAAACAGTAACCTGCTACAGGGAACCGATTCCAGATTGCAAATAGGGAACCGATTCCCCTGCTACAGGGAACCGATTCCCTTGCTACAGTACTGTTACAGTACTTCTGTAAAGCGTACATAAAACTCGTAAAAATTTAACCGTTCATCACTATACATTTACACTTACATAAAATATGTTCAGAACATTAGAAAAGTCTATCAGAGCGTTCGTACTAACAACTTATTACATTTCTTACATGCCAACGTATTATGCACAATCAAAATACATACTTTATCAATTACTTCTGATCTGATCTTCTAATAGTGTTGTCGTTCTTGCCACTCCTATTTCTGTTATTCTTGGTTCTTGGTACCTACGTGTAAATCACTTACACGCTAAGTCATAGACTTAGTGAGGCATGATTAAATATATAACAATAATTCGTGAAACATACACTCTTACTGTTTAATCGTAACATTATAACTTGCATGTATGTATTACACTATAACATATATGATCATGTCATGCATATATGAAATTTATCGTCTTATGCAAGTTTTCACTTCACTTTATCTTTGTATTGCTCATGTACATTATTGAGAACAAGAGGTAAATGAGTACACTGAAGTTGTGCACATATGCTGTCACCACAGCTCATATAAATTTGCACCGAAGTGCCACATAGAATTTGTCCCGAAAGACTGCGTAGAAATGCACCGTAGTGCCATATAAGATTGTCCATAAGGACCACATAGAAATTCCTTAAGAATCATATACATATACCAAGGATCAAGTAGGTGTCTCAAAAGACCTCATACATGTTCCAAAGAATACATAAATGTCCCGAAGGACCACGTAGAATTTTGTCCCGAAGGACCGCGTAGACCCTCTACTCTTGGCATGCCAACTATACCTATGGTTCTCATCTACATAACATGGGCTTAAATATGAGTACATATCTCATTTTCATATCGTTTTCATCACTTTTCATATAAACACATATTTCACTTCACATGTACACATATGATCATTTCCATTATTTCACATACCTGAATTGATTCTTTGACAATTGCATTCTTTCATATAATATCATATTAAAGCATGTATGAATTATGCAAGAAATCAATGTATTCAATATAGATATATGGATGCATGTATATGAATATGAAATCATGAATTCAACTATAAGAGATAGACTTATCGCAAGTCTTATCTCCATACAATTCTATCTAGTATGTGCACTCACCTTAGCCTTGCTTAATTTGACTCGATTCTAATCATTCGATTGTTCTTACTTGTCACTTGTTCCGGAACTCGTTTAGGCTCCATATCTACATAAACATAATTTCTGAGACAACTATCAAAAGCCTAAACCTTATCATTAACATCTAATAGCTTAAACAAATTTAATGAACCAAACTTCAACTTTCCTTTAGGGGGAATCGACTCCCCCCCAGGGGGTATTGGTTCCCTCTGCATAATCTGTAAAATTTACCCAGATTTTACTGTTCAAACCCGAAAATCATCAACTCTTCACTAAATTTTTCTCATACAAAGTTCCTTTCATACCACCCAACTTAACTACAACCATTTTAACTAACTTCTATCATTTCGAAACTTTATTATTTCCAATACTTCATTCAAATTCTTAAAACCAATAATCATACCCAAATTTCAAACATGTTATTAATCAATTCTAACACTTCTAACCCTTTAATTAACCTCTTGACAAGTCGAAAATCTTATTCAAACCTCAAAAACTCATCCATATCGAAATTTCATCTAAAAACCCATTTCTCAAATCTATCTCTAAAACATTTATCTTGTTGTTTTAATGTCGTATAAGCTTTCCTTTAGCTTATATAACATCCAAACTAAAAATCAAAGAAACGACCAAGGTTCAAATTCTTACCTTGAGCTTGGGTGCCTCACGTTGAGAAAAGAAGATGAAGAAGATAAGTCTCTGAAAACTTATCTCTTCAATTCATTCACATGGGTATTATAATACCCACAATTATTATTTTATTATTTCATTTGCTCAATGACCCTTTTACCCTTATTATAATTCCATATTTACTATCATACCCAACAAACAAAATTCCTCCATAAATCACTAGACTTATCACTTGATTCTAATTCACCAACTAAATTTATAAATTCTTACAATTTAGTCACTTACCCGGTAATTAGGATGTTACAAGTTTATTGTTTACAATCTTTTATCCTTATTGAAAAGGGGTTTTGGTTCTATCTTAGCCATTGTAAAATATAGAGAATTTGTAAAGATTACTCTTGAGCCTAGAAAAAGAAAGAACAAATTTGTAAATTTGTTAGAAATCCTTATTGAGGTGCTAAGGTAGTGGATGTAGACTTCTTTGAGTAAGTTGAACCACTATAAATCATTGAGCAAAATTTCCTATCACTTTTCCTAAATTCGAAAAATTTAAAAAATGTCAATTCACCCTATCTTGACAACAATTTTGATTGATCAATCGAGATTCAAAAATCCTAACATTAACGTCCAACTTAGACAACTGCCATTTTTAACGGAAAATGGTGAGTTTGGAACAGAAAGAATAGTCGAGTGACCATTTTATAACTTTTAATAATCGATGAACTTAGCAAAGCAATATTCTATAATCGAAGGGCCACTTATAATTTTTAATAATCGGGACTTAATAAAACAATACCCTATAATTGAAATACTATATGTATATTTTACCTTAAAAATATAATTTTAAAATTAAAGGACAATAATGTCTATCCCACTTTATCTATGATCTCTCTATTTTTCTCTTAGAAATATTTTAGTGTTTTTTAAGACTAAAAGGAAACGTTGTATGGTTTCTCGGTAGGATTAAATAAAGAGTAAATTACGAGTTTTGTATTTATACTATCAGTTTTGATCTGTTTTAGTACGTAACTTTTAAATTTTTTAAAATCATACCTATATTTAGTTTTTATTTTATTTTAATATCCCTGTTTAAAATCTAACGATAAATTTTGAAAAAAATAAAAGTTTAGGTACTAAAAGGGACAAAAACTAATAGTTTAGGTACTTAACGCGTTAAGTTTTTTAACGACGAGTACTAAAATAAAATAAAAACTAAATGTTAGATCTGATTTTAAAAAAAATTAAAAATTTAGATGCTAAAATAATGATAAGGATCGAAAAAATTAATACCTTTATCAAAGTAATTATACAAGGGACATGATACAGAAAATCATAATTATTCTCCACATCGTTGAAGTAATTCACAAGCTCATTACTAGGAACGGTTCCTACAACATTTTTGTTTATTGATAATTATACTATCAGCAGCCGATAGTTTCACGCATCAGCATGTAGTGAATGAAACAACAACTGAAGCCCATGTTCCGGCTTGAGTACAAGGCGCGGCACCGGCGAGTGAACATAGGCAGGGGAGAGTGTGAAGCTGTAGCGTTGTAGAATCATGGAGAGAGCGATTTTTGTTTCGGTGATTGCGAAGCTCATTCCGACGCAAGATCGAGGTCCCAACCCGAAGGGAAGATAAGCTGCCGCATTGTAGTTGGTAGCTTTGGCAACCCCTTCAACGAATCTCTCCGGTTTGAAGAGGTGAACATCGGGTCCCCATAAGTCAGGGTCATGGTGGAGTGCTATGATACGGATGTCGACCTCTAATGGAGTAGGCAGGGCGAGTTTTCCCAATCGGACTTCTCGTCGGACTTTACGTATAGTCCCGCTTACGGGAGGGTACAGTCTTAGTGTCTCATTGATGATCATGTTGATCTGTTGCAGAAAAAACGAATCAAAGGCATCATATTGTAATTCATGTAGTGTACTTCATTGATGAACATGAAATGCTTACAATTTTTAGCTTGGCGATCCCTTCCAAATCCGGGTTTCGGTTACCGAACACTTCGAACACCTCTGTTCGTGCTTTGTCTTGCCAATCTGTGTGGGTTGCTAGGAGGAGGAATGTCCATGCAAGCAAGGAATTAGTTGTTTCATGGCCGGCAAAATAGAAAGTTTTACATTCATCTACCAAATCTTGTTCCGAAAGCCTGTTTTTCTCGTCGGATTCATGATAGGCGTTTACGAGTAATCCCAGAAAGTCGTGACCGAAGTTTTCCGCCTCTCCGGTCACGACTTTCTCTTCCCTTTTTCTAACGATTTTCATCACAGTATCATGTATCGTTTTTGCAAGCTTCTCTGTTTCGATTTCATCAGCGGATTTCCAGATCTGGCTGCAACAACAAACCAAACCAAACATCGATTTTCTTTTAAATTCGGTGGCTGCAACAACAAACCAAACCAAACATCGATTTTCTTTTAAATTCGGTGTTATTATAATACAATCACTAAACTTTTAATTCGATGAACTTGCCTGATGATAGGAATCCTTGTTTTATAAAGATTTCTGCCTGCAATTCCTGATAGCTTCATCAGTATGTCAAAAATCTTCTCCCCTTCCAAGTAGCTGCTACCAAAAGCTGTTCTGGATATTACTTCCGAAGCAAATAATCTGAACTCCCGGTACACTTCGATCTCTTCTCCTTCTTTACCTCTCCATTTCTCCATCATCGTTTCGACACTCGCAATGATCGCCGGAGTCATGTTCTGCGACATTCGATAATTCATTATACATGGTGAATGAATCACATAATGATCGGAGGTGATCAAATTATTTACCTTCAAGCTCTCCCCATGGAAGGCATAATTGGCCAGCTTCCTTTGCCTCGACCATTTCTCCCTCTCGGTCGAAGCAAGCCCGTCGCCCAACATCTTCTCAAAGAAATACGTGGGCTCCCTCTTTGGGAAAGCTTTGTCGCTGTTTCTCAGCACCTCTTTCACCAGTTCTGGCTCTGCGATTTCGAGTTGAGCTCGGACTCCATTCCAGCCGAGATGGATCTTCCCGTACTTGTTGATCCAGTGATGAAAATGAGGCATCACTCTGGGGAATATATCGTGCGACAGTCCCAGAGGCTTGCTCGATGCTTCCCTTTGGAGCTGGACCACTTGTTTGTTGTTTCCATGGACGAATTCATAAGGAGGACCTCTGATTCCCTGGGAGTTCAGTATCGACTGTATACGACGAGGGATCCACCAGTACTTATAGAAGATGTAGAAGAAAGCGACGAGGAAGTAGAGGCAGAAAGAAGCTGTGGAAAAGAGTAGAAGCTTTCCCATGGTGTCCATTTTTCTTTCTTTCTGGCTAGATCTTAACAGATGATGAATGCTTCAGGTTTTGGAGTGTTTATATATGATTTTCTGGGTTTCTCTTGAGGTCTACGGATTGCCATTTGTCCACCTTTGCTGTTTAGGCCATTTTTATAATTTTTCTTAGAGAACTACACCCGATAATCAGGGAAATAGACAAGAAAAAGATCATATGCGTCTAGGCATGGACGATGGCAATGATGCAATGGCTACTTTACACGACATTGTGAAAACGACAATAAGAGAATGGGAGGAACTGCTTTTTGGGTTAATATAAAAAGGGTAAATTACAAACTTCTACCTTCAGAATATTACAAAATGGTCCCTAGACTATAGAATATTACTTTTACGAGCCCCTCAACTATTCAAAGTGACAAAATAGTCACTCAACTGTTTATTACATTTCAAATTCGTATTTTTTCGTTAAAAAATTGACGACAATCTAAATTAAATATTAATATATTGTCTGAGATGAGATATGATAAAATATAATATCATAATCTTGAATGACTATAATATATCAGACAACAAATTAACATTTAACTCAGAATTATGTTAATGTTTAATGAAAAATTATGTATTTAAGACATAATTAATAGTCAGATGATCATTTTATAACTTTTTAATAGTCGGAGAATTTAGTTTAAATTTTAAAAATTTCAAATCTAAATGAATTAATCAAATTTTACTTTTCAATTTCAATGACAATAACAATGACGTGATGAAAAAATTTGCCAAAATGAATTCATCAGTCAGCATTTTACGTCCTGACTTGACATTTTATGTTGTCGGGTAAATTGTATGGATAATCCCTTATATTTTTGGTCTAACCGATTTAATCATCAATTTAAAAGTTAAAGGGGAATGGTCCCTAATATGCTATTAAATCATTCGATTTTAGTCCCTCAGCCGTTGACTCCCGTTCAATTTTAGTCCTTCGGGCATGTTAGGGACTTAAACAAAAAGGGGTTAATAAAAATTAATGTTTGATGAATTAATATCGAACGAATCAATAAAGTTAGGAATAATTTCCTCTTAATTTTTAAAATGGTGACCAAAATTGATCCGACTCTAAACATAGGAGACTATTCGCATAGTTTACCCTTTGTCGTCTTACTTCACTTCTCTCTTTCTTATCCTACAGTCATTATTGGCCATTAGCGTGCAAAATTCAACATGGTGGTTTTCAATCAATGAATGCAAAGAACAACTTTGCTACCATATTTGTTCACATTTATATTTTATAACTTAAAGTCAAAGGACATTAATGCCTGGTCGGCTTGTCCTACGTAGAATAGCAAAACTTATCTTTAGCCCTTTTAGATTTTCATGTTTACTTGTATTTTATATTTTGTACACGCCCTTGAACTTCGACATCTCGAAACGTGCTATCTTAGTCGACTTTTTTGTGATTGTGGCTAAGTAAGCTTAAAAATATCCCAAGCAATGATACTTAGAATCTCGACGGAAGCTAGACAAGAGAACTAGCACAAAAAAAAAGATAAGAAAGCTTTGAGAGAAGAATGCTCTTATTATTTCTCAAAGTGAAGGAGTGAGTACAAATGAGGAGGGGAGGACGTCAAGGTTATTAGTTCTAATAAAATATATTTTTATTTAAACTTTTCATAATTCTAACTAAAAAATTATATTTTATTTAAGTTTAAATAAAAAAATATTATTTTAAAAAACTCGTCATGTAGGCGCGACTCGTTTCCCTTACACTATAGCATCTGCCGTAGATCTCAAATTAATATTCGAGATGATCTAATGGGCTAATTTTATGATCCGCCTGGCTTATTGGGCCAATTTTGCCGCGTATGGCCCCTCTATAATTTCCAATCAATCTGTATTGGTCCAGTTTACTTTAGTTGGGCTGGTTTAAGATTTTTCAAACCAACCAAACCACTCAAACAAGTAATAAATATAAGGGTAAATTATCCATTTAGTATCTAAACTATTAATTTTAGTTCATTTTAGTATCTAAACTTTCATTTTTCTCAAAAACATACCTAAAGTTTATTTTTTATTTTATTTTAGTACCATGTTCATAATTTAACATTAGGTTTTGAAGAAAAATAAAAGTTTAGTTACAAAACGGACCAGAATTAATAGTTTAGGTACTAAACATATAAAGTTTTTAACAATGAGATATTAAAATGAAACAAAAACTAAACATTAGATATGATTTTGAAAAATTAAAAATTTAGGTACTAAAACGGGTTAAAACTGATAGTTTAAGTACTGAATGTATAGTTTACCCTAAATATAAACACACAACAGTGTAGGCGGTGAAAGATCAACACAATATAAAAGTACATATAACAATAATGATTCGTCCACAAATTAGCGTCATTACGTAGGGAGCGAAAAGATTAATAATCACTACGTAGGGAACGAAACAGCAACGGAACACCATGTTGCGGCTTGAGTACGAGACTGGGTAATGGCGAGTGAACGTAGGCAGGGGAGAGGGTGAAACTATAGCGTTGCAGGATCATGGAGAGAACAATCTTTATCTCGATCATTGCGAAGCTCATTCCTACACAAGATCGAGGTCCCAAGCCGAAAGGAAGAAAAGCTGCCGTGTTGTAGTTGGTAGTTTTGGCAATCCCTTCGGCGAATCTCTCCGGTTTGAAAACATGAACATCGTCTCCCCACAGGTCAGGGTCATGGTGAAGTGCTAGAAATCGGATGTCGACCTCTAAACCAGTAGGCACGACGAGTTTTCCGACTCGGACTTCTCTTTCGACTTTCCTCGGCGTGCTATTCGCCGGAGGATACAGCCGTAGAGTTTCATTGATGATCATGGTAATCTGCAAGAGAAGAAAAGGAATCAAACAACATGAACATATTATAAAGTTCAATTTTTGTGTAGGTTGCTTACGGTTCTTAGTTTGGAGATCCCTTCATAATCTGGGTTTTGAGTACCAAAGACCCTCAACACCTCTGTTCTTGCTTTGTCTTGCCAATCCGTGTGGATTGCTAGGAGAAGCATCGTCCATGCAAGCGAAGAATTAGTTGTTTCATGGCCAGCAAAGTAGAAAGTTTTACACTCGTCAACCAAATCTTGTACCGACAGCCTGTTTTTCTCGTCCGAATCATGACGGGCACTTACAAGTAACCCCATGAAATCACTGCCGAAGTTGTCTGCTTCTCCGGTCACTACTTTCTCATCTCTTTCCTTGACTATCTTCATCACAGAATCATGTATCGTTTTCGCCAGTTTTTCTGATTCGATTTCATAAGCAGATTTCCAAAACTTGCTGCAAAAGCAAAACCAGAGACACAAATAAACCCCGTACGTATACTACAAGCAAATGCTTAGATGAACTTACCTGATGATGGGAATCCTTGATTTGAAAAAGTTTCTGCCTGCAAGTACCGATAACTTCATCAACATCTCGAAGATCTTCTCCCATTCCAAGTGATTGCTACCAAAAACTACTCTCGAAATCACTTCTGAAGCTAATAACTTGAACTCTTGGAACACTTCGACCTCTTTTCCTTCTCGATCTCTCCATTTCTCGAGCATCGATTCGACGCTACCGATTACGGCCGGAAACATGTTCTAACAACCGAATTATACATGTATCGTCAGTGAAACAGATGAACTATATGTGATACAGAGTATACTTTTGAAACTGAAGTTTACCTTTAAGATCTCCCCATGAAAGGCGTAATTAGCCAACTTCCTTTGCCTTATCCATTTATCTCCTTCGGTTGTGCCAAGCCCGTCGCCTAATATCTTCCCAAAAATATACGTAGGCTTCCTCTTGGTAAAAGCTTTGTCACTGTTTCTCAGCACCTCTTTCACCAGTTCTCGTTCAGTAATCACGAGCTGAGCTTGAGCTCCATTCCAGCTAAGATAATTCTTGCCTGGAAAAACAAAAACAAAGAGATTTAATTACAAAATTTCTTCATGGAAAAAGCTAACTGGGAAACATGTTTCGATGATGAAAGCTCACCGTATTTGTAGATCCAGGAATGAAAATGAGGCATAACCCTGGGGAAAATATCGTGCGTCAACCCCATGGGTTTGGTTAATGCTTCCCTTTGCATCTGGACAACTTGTTTGTTGTTTCCATGGATGAATTCATAAGGAGGTCCATAGATTCCCTGGGAATTCATCATCAACTGTACACGATGAGGGATCCACCAGTACTTGTAGACGACATACAGGAGAGCTATGGGCAAGTAAAGGTACAAAGAAGCTGTGAAAAGAAGTAGAAGCATTCCCATGGCGTTTGCCGTGTTTCTTCTTCTTCTTCTTTATCTTAACCAATGAACGGAATAGATTTTGGCAGCGTTTTAGTATGATTTATAGCTATGATTTTGGGGTTTGTTTCTGGATGTTCAAGGTTCAACGTTGACATTTTCTCGTCCTCTTCTCTTGTTCAAGGAATTTTCTCTAGCCCCGTTTGACTCTTACTGCTAAAGCGACATTATTAAGAATTGTTTATGGTTAAAATATTAGGTTTGACCGTGTAGGGTATGGGTCCCACTCACCCGTGAACCCGGGAAAAAGTTGTTTGTTTATCTCATTTTTTGGTTTTGACTTTGGTGAAAAAAGTTCTGGCTTGTGTGTGGGCAAGGTATAACACAACAAAAAATCAGATCTGTTTTGAAAGAGAGAGAGAGCAGCCACGTTTGAGAGAAAAGAGGAGAAAAACAGATTTCTAAAAGTTTGGTGTAACAGTAATCAACTCTTCGATAAAGGGTTTATTTGTGGTTCGATTAAGCTGATTTTTGGACATCAACTAGGTGATAAGATGTTCTTGACTTTGTATGGTCGAATTTTTAATTCGAGCAATGTAACGACGAAAAATGTCAATTTAAAGCAGCTGCATTTTTGGGGATTATAGTCTTGTTGTTGAACATTTGATGATAGTGGAGTTTTTTATTGGACTCTAAAGTCTCGTGGTTTTTACCCTTGATTTAGAGGGGGTTTTTACGTAAAATATTTGTGTCTTGATTTATTTGCGTTGTGGTTGTATTGGTTGATTTGTGGTTGATTAATGTTGCTAGAGAACATATTTTGTGCTATAGTTGTTTCCATAATTTTTTGCAGGAGTTATAGAGAGAAAAAGAACATCGATTGTGCTTCCTCTTGTGTTTAGTTGTTCGGTTTCTTCCCCAACAAACTAGTATCAGAGCTTGGTTATTGTGCCAGATAATTATGGAAATTAATACGAGCAAGATGATTATGTTGAATGACACGAATTATCAACTTTGGTGGAATAAAATGAAAGACTTATTGTTTGTGAAGGCTTTGCATCTTCCGGTCTTTGCTACTCAAAAACCCGATTCGAAAAGTGACGAGGAATAAGAATATGAACATCAACAAGTGTGTAACTTTATTCGGCAATTTGAAGAAAATGTTTCCAACTACATTGATCAAGAGACACATGCTAGCACATTGTGGGAGAAGCTTGAAAGCTTGTATGCTTCGAGGTCGGTCAACAACAAGTTGTTTTTGCTAAAAAAGATTATGACGTTGAAATACAAAGAATGAATGTCTATAGCTAACCATGTTAGTGAGTTTTAGAGTGTGATGAATCAGTTGTTTGGTATGACGTCAAATTTGATGATGATATTTTAGGGCTTTGGTTGCTTGCTACTCTACCGGACTCTTGAGAGACTTTTTGGGTCTCGTTCATTAATTCTGCTCCACATGGTATTATTACTTTGGATTTGGCTAAGTGTGGTTTGTTGAATGAAGAGGTTAGAAGAATATCCCAAGGTTCTACAATATAGTCCGAGGTATTGTTTACCGAGAATAAGGGAGAAACAAAGATAAAGATGAAAAGGGTAGAGATAAAAACCAAAGCAAGTCAAGATAGAGATACAAGAATCTTGAGTGTCATCATTGTGATAAGAAAGGTCATATCAAGAAATATTGCTTCAAGTGAAAGAAAGAGAAAAAGGTGCTGGTGATAAACATGATCGAAAGGATGATGAAAAATCTGAGCGTGTTGCAATAGTTCATCGTGATGATCTGTTGGTTATTTGTGATGAGAATTTGGTCAATCTAGCATACGATGAGACTAGTTGGTGATTGATATAGGTGTTTCACTTCATGTCACGTCGATGAGATATTTTTTCATATCTTATACTCATGATGATTTTGGGGTATTAAAGATGGGTAATGGCAATTTGGTTCCGATTATTTGTATGGGATATGTTAGTTTGGTGAGTAACGATGGTATAAAGTTAACTCTCAAAGATGTCAGACATGGACCAGATATCCATTTAAATTTCATTTCTTCAGGAAAGCTAGATGATGAGGGATTTTGTATCACCTTTAGTGAAAGGCAATGGAAGTTGACTAAAGGCTCATTGGTTATGGCTCGAGGAAATAAAAGCTCAAATTTGTATTTGATGTAGACTTCGACTTTTAGAGACACTGTGAATGTGACAGTGAATGACAACTCAACTGAATTGTGAAATAAATGAATTAGTCACATGAGTGAGAAGGGGTTTAATTATTTAGCCAAGAAGAATCAACATTCGGGTTTGAAAAATGTTACACTGAAGAATAGTGGTTATTATCTAGCGAGGAAGTAGAGAAGAGTTTCTTTTAGAAGTCCTCCTCCACATAGAAGATCAAAATTGCTAGAGTTAGTTCATTCAGATGTATGTGGTCCAATAAAGGTATAGTCACATGTGGTGCACTTTATTTTGTGACTTTCATTTATGACTGTTCAAGAAAGATGTGGGTCTATATGTTGAAGTCAAAATACCAAGTTTTTGAAGCGTTTAAACAGTTTCAAGCATCAGTTGAAAGAGAAACAGGGAAAAAGTTAAAGCACATTCATACTGATAATGATGGCGAGTATACAAGGTCATTTCATGAGTATTGTCTAATATAGGGAATCAAACATCAGAGGACACCACTGAAGACTCCACAATTAAATGGGTTAGCTGAAAGAATGAACCGAACATTGATTGAGAGAGTTAGATGTTTTTGTCAGATGTAAAGTTACCAAGATCCTTTAGGCTAAAGCTTTGAATACAATGATGCATGTGATTAATCTATCTACTAGTGTTCCTTTACGAGGTGATGTATCAGATAGAGTTTGGTTTGGTAATGACGTGTCATATGATCACCTTCCTGTGTTCGGTTGTAAAGCATTTTTTCATAATATTCCAAAGGATGAAATATCCAAGTTGGATGCCAAGACTCGACAATACATCTTTATTGGTTATGGTCTAGATGGTGAGTTTGGTTATAGACTCTATGATCTAGTTCAGAAGAAGCTTATGAGAAGTCGAGATATTATTTTCATTGAGGATCAAACCATTGATGACATTAATAAGACCGAGAAAGTGGATTCACAAGATAGTGGTGACTTGATCGACGTGAATCTGGTTCACCTAGACCCTTCAATAGATCCTATTCCAGATAATGTGCATAATGATGTTCGGATGATGTGCATGGTGATGTTCATGATGACCAACAAGATATAGGTGACTTTGATGCTCCCATGGATGATGTTGCGAATGATCAACAACAAGCACCTATAGCTCTATCAACATTTCCACTTCGAAGGTCTTCTAGAGATCGACGATCTTCTGTCATGTATTCTTCTGATGAGTATGTTCTTTTGACTGACGGGGGAGAACCTGAATGTTATGAAGAGGCTATGGAGAGTGAATGCAAAGATCAGTGGATTGAAGCGATGAAAGATGAACTTCAATCCTTGCAAGAAAACCATACATTTGAGTTGTAAAACTGCCTAAGGGTAAAAGACCTTTGAAGAATCGGTGGGTTTACAGGTTAAAGCAAGAAGAAAAGTCTTCATCTCCATGATACAAAGCTAGATTGGTTGTTAAGGGTTATACTCAGAAAGAGGGGATTGGTTTTGAAGAAATATTTTCTTCTGTTATGAAGATGTCCTCAATCAGAACTATACTGAGTTTGGCAGCTTGTTATGACTTGGAGGTTGAACAAATGGTTGTGAAAACTTTTTTTATCCATGGTGATTTGGAGGAAGAGATTTACATGGAACAACCAGAGGGATTTGTTACAAAAGGGAAATAGAACTACATGTGCATGTTGAAGAAGAGCTTGTACGGTTTGAAGCAAGCTCCAAGTAGTTTGAGTCTTTTACAGGGGAGCAAGGCTACAAGAAGACTACTTATGATCATTGTGTGTTTGTTAAGAGATTCTCTAATGATGATTTTATTATCCTTTTGCTCTATGTTGATGATATGCTTATTGTTGGTCGCAATGCTTCTAGGATTGAGAAGTTGAAGCTGAAGTTGAGAAAATCTTTTGCAATGAAGGATTTAGGGTGAGTAAAGCAAATTCTTGGCATAAGATTGACACGTGATAGAAAGGCCAAGAAATTGTGATTATCATAAGAGAAGTTCATTGAGAATGTACTTCAAAGATTCAGTATGGACAAAACTAAAGCAATGAATAATCCCTTTGTTACGCACTTTAGATTGAGTGTTAAACATTGTCCTTCCATAGAAAATGAGAAGGAAGAGATACAAAAAGTTCCTTACTCTTCAGTTGTAGATAGTTTATTGTATGCAATAGTATGCACGAGATCGGACTTGGCTTATGTTGTTGGTAACGTTAGTCAATTTCTTTCTAATCCAGGCATAGAGCATTGGAATGTAGTGAAGTGGATCATGATATATCTCCGTGGTAGTTCCAACTTGAAACTTTGTTTCGGTAATGAGAAACTTGTTCTTGTTGGATATATAGATTCAGACATGGCTGGAGACATTGGCTCGATGAGATCTACTTCAAGTTACTTTATCACTTATACATGTGGAGTTATGTCTTGGCAATCGAGATTGAAAAAGTGTGTTGCATTGTCCATCACCGAACCATAGTTCATTGCAGCGATCGAAGCGTGCAATGAGATGCTTTGGATGAAGAAGTTTGTGCGTGAACTTGGTTTTACTAAGGAGAGGTATGTCCTATATTGTGATAGCCAGACCGTGATTCATCTTGGTAAGAACTCAACTTTTCATGCTAGATCTAATCATATTGATGTGAAGTACTATTGGATACGATATGTTCTTGAAGTTAAACTGTTAAAGCTTGAGAAGATACATACTGATGATAATGATACTGATATGTTGACGAAAGTCTTACCAAGAGAAAAGTTTGAAGCATATTGCTTAACCGTCAGGATGGAGGTTTTCCCCGCATAGTTAGAGGGGAGATTTGTTAGGTGTGGGTCTCATTATGTGGGAAAACCCATTCACCTGTAAACCCACAAAAAAAAAGATTGTTTTCCC